AGAGATTAATTTTTTTTTTTTTGAGACAGAGCCTCAAGCTATCCCCCTGGGTAGAGTGCCATGACATCACAGCTCACAGCAACCTCCAACTCAAGCGATTCTCTTGCCTCAGCCTCCCAAGTAGCTGGGACCACAGGCGCCTACCACAACACCCGGCCATTTTTTGGTTGCAGCCATCATTGTTGTTTGGCGGCCCGGGCTGGATTTGAACCCGCTACCTTAGGTGTATGTGACTGGCGCCTTAGCCACTTGAGCCATAGGTGCTGAGCCTGAGGAGGTTTTCTTACTTGATTTTTTTTTTATTTCTTATAGCATAACTATGTACATTAATGCAATCATGGGGTACAGTGTGCTGTTTTCATATACATTTTGAAATACTCTGATCAAACTGGTTAACATAACCTTCATGTCATTTTCTTAGTTATTGAGTCAAGACATTCATACTATGCTTTTAGAAAGATTCACTTGTACCCTTGAAAGATTAACCATAGAGGTGACCCCCACCATTCTTACTTGATTTTAAAAAATCTGAGAGGCTGGGTGCAGTGGCTCACACCTGTAACAATGGCACTCTCGGTGGACCCCTTGAACTTAGGAGTTCGAGACCAGCCTGAGCAAGAGCAAGACCCTGTCTCTACGAAAAATAGAAAAACGGGCATGATGGTGGGTGCCTATAGTTGAAGCTACTCAGGAGGATGAGGTGAGAGGATCAGTTAAGTCTAAAAGTTTGAGATTACTGTGAGCTAAGATGACACCATAATGCTCTATCCAGGGCAATAGAGTGAGATTCTGTCTCAAAAGAAAAAGTAAAAAATTTGAGAGCTATATATCCAAAATATACACACATGTGTTTGCCAGATCACAAGAGAAACTAAGAAAAAAGGCATTAAAATCTTCCTATTGGTAAAACACAAATGAAATATTTTAAGAGCGTGTAGATGAGTCATTTATTAGCTAAACTTAAGCATTCCAAAAGAATATGAATATTCCATTTTGACTTAAATATTTTTCTTCAGAGATGTATGCAGAAAAAGAATATAAATTTTTGTCCAGTTTGTAAAGGTATGTATGCTTTTTTTTTTTTTGTGGACACAGGGTTTTATTATTTTGCTCAGGCTTGGCTTAAACTCAACCCTCCTGCCTCAGCCTCTTGAGTAGCTGGGAGTACAGACACATGCCATTGCACCTAGCTTTTAGCTTATTTAGTTTTCCATTAGCATTCTAGAAAGATTGTAAACATTTATTAAAAGTCCAAAATATTATTTCCCCTGTGGTAATTTTATTTTATTCTATTTTTTTTTTTTTTTTTTTT